GTAAGTCTTCTTGCACGTGTTGCCACCTTATCTGAGGTCGTTCCATGTCTGGATTTTTTTGCTGTAAATTGCTTTGATTTTTATAGGTAAATATCTCGTTTGCTTGCATACATACATGTGCATATTGTACATATACCAACATACATACATACCTACACATCAGATGCATATAAAATTCCATGCATACACATGTGCATATATCTAAATAGTTGTTTATGTTCTATGTCTGTTTTCGTATTTGACTATTTGTGTATCCATTTAGTCGCTATCTCATGTACGGATTTCGCATCTGTCCAATAGATTTCACATTTCTTTTTCTTCGACTCCTTGCTTCTCTCCTCGCTCTCCCCGCCATCTAACCAAAGCACTGACAGATTACGCAAATTTACGTCTTTTTCTAAATCTCCTTTGATCGAACTGGCTCCAGCGCCTGCGATAGTGTGGCCGGGAGCCAGAGAGCGAGCGAATATGTGCCAGCAGGTCTTTTTTATATATTCCTTGTTTTATTTTTGCCTTTCGTGTTCCTGTTTTAAACGATGGAGGAGAAAAAGAATCGTACAACCTGTCAGTGGCGGACGTGGCAGCGTGAGTGCCAGGTGTCAGATAGGACAGCGGTGGCAGATAAGACGCTCGTGGCCTGTCTTGTGTGAGTGACGTCGGATCTTCAGCCTTGAGGGTGTCTATTTATACGCCCTCCCCCGTGTCCAGGACAGACGACGGTTCGTGCTGCCGGGCCCGACAGACGAGTGCTGTGCCCTTCGGCCTTATTTCATTCGCCTGCTCCCTCGTTCACTCGCCTGCCCACCAACACGCCCTTTTGGTGTCGATGTGTGTTTTCTTTGGTTTTTCTCACTGGCACCCCTCTACAGTTCGTGCGTTGGCCTGTAGATTTTTTTGTGTTGGGGTCGTATCTATATCCATACTCACTGTTTGCAGATTTCCTCGCCAGTATCCACGATAGTATATCTATTCCCCGACAAGGTCCCTCTTCCCACTCCATTATCCTTGTCATCACAACACCCATGTCCTCACTCTCCGTATCCCCTTCCCTCTCCTTTGTCTGCGCCCGCACTCTCACTCCATACACAAGCACGCCCCTAACGCTTCTGCCACAATTAATCTCCCTCTCACCACGCGCAGTTGAACCTTGCTCGCCTCTCAGCATCAACTCACGTTCATGGCGTGGGCAGGTCGCAGCTGCGGCTTCTGACGCCACCGGGGCCTCGCCTGGCTCCTCGCTGAACATTGACGGGCGGGTCATGGGCGGACTGAATTGGCCGGATGAAAATGTCGGCTGGGATGAAATGGCTGGGCCGTGTGATTTATATACGAATGTCCGAAGGCGACCGGTTGGAGGGACGTGGCGGATGCATATCGGATTCGCAATCGATCTGAGATTTCGAGGCTTGGACTGGGGGCTGGTTGGAGGTCGGGAGGACTTACTGCAGGTGTGGTAGATATAGCGAATCGGTTCGTGAACCGGCTCTGCACATGAAGATTTTTTTTAACCAAATAAGAGCTATGATTTACATTCAGATTAGATTGAGATCGAGTAAAAGCGCCAAGGTTGAGAATGCAAATAACGATTTTGTAATATGTAGTGTGTTTACAAAGAATGTTGTCCGGTGACATCCCCACACCAGCTGCTTCCCTCCTCTCTTTCTCCCTCCCTTCCTCCCTTCCTCTCTCTCCATCCATTACCACCTCTCTCTACCTCCCCCCCCTCTTTCCTCTCCCGCACTCCCCCTTCTGAACCTCTTTTTACTCGGGTTATCGCAGTCAACGTTGCATCCTTGTGTCGCCTACGGGTGCTTTAAAAGGGCTTAGAGAGTGGGGAGGTTAATTGTTCCTGACAAACGTCGAGAGAGGGTGAAGCCAAGCCAGAAGCAAGCTGAGGAGGAGGCTGGATGGAAAGAGAAGACGCAAGGAAGGACCAAACAAAAGCAAAAAACAGGGAAAGCGAAAAAGAGTAATTTAAGAAAGTCCACGGTAAAGTGAGGGATGCGGGGAGACTTGGAGCAGACTACGACAGATAAAGAGAGAGACTTGGGGACAAAGGACCGGCGAGGGCGAGAGCGTGTGAGGGCAGATGGTGCTTTGGGAATTGTACACCCTGTCAAAGAATGCCCGAGAGTTGTCATGGAAAGGGAAGGAGAGGCAGAGGTGGAGATGGGGAGCCGGAGAACCGACGGCGCAGTAAGAGAGCAAGTAGCGGGAGGTGAAGGTCGACTAAGTAGAGGAAGCGACTCTTGAAATTATCTTGCAAGCGGAATGAGGGTGCTTCAGCTGGCTTTTCCGGACGGTAAACGTGGGTCTTCGTGAGAGAACATCGGTGCCCTGAAATAACAAGTGGTAGATTTCAAAGTAAGGCTTGATAGTTTATGTGAAGATAAGCAAGAGATAAGTATGATTTGCTCCCTTTATTTGTTTATGAAAATGCTGTTTTTAAAAGAAGTTCCTCAATTACATTGCCATTTCCTTTCATCGAACTTCTAAGGCACACATAAGGTTTTTGAAGCAATAGCACCAACTATTGAAGCGAGGGTCCAGGTTGACCCAGATTATGAATTCCCTTTCCGACCTCGTTTTTTATCACCCACTAACGTTGCTTTCACGTGCGCATGCAGTGTTGTTCCTTCCTCTCATGCCAGACCGAAGCATGCCTTTGAGTTAGGCGGGGAGAGAAAAAAAGAGAAAAATGCAGGGCAAGTATCCGGGGCACAGATCCATAACCGATACATCAGCTCCTGGCACGGCTCTGCGTCTATCTTGGTACAGATGTCAAGGCTGGCGGACGTCTTGTAGCCGTCATGGCGAGGGGACCTGTCAGCCGCGCTTTGTAGGCCAAAAGACTCGCAGAATGTGGGGTCTGCCTGCCCAGCCCAGGTGGCTTGGGGCGTGCGGCGAGGGGCGGGGGCGGGGGCGGGACAATACGCCACACGGGAACGGCATTATGGGAAGCCCTTCGCTGATAGTGTTAACCCTAAACGCCCCTTCTTTGGCCTTCTCTCTTCCTCTTCTCCGTATCTCCCTCTCCCTTCCTTCGCTTCATTACCGCCTCCCCTCACACCTCCCTTCCCCTCCCTCCTCTCCCCCCCCTCCTGGCCATATCATCCGCATGGAGACTATCGCCGTATGTCTCGACCACGCGCGCCTTTCTCTTCCCTTTTCCCCTTGCCTTTTATTCTCTCTTCCTTCTTCCTTTCTCTCTCTCTTCTGTTCTCTCTCCTTTTTAGAGTCCACTCGCAGTCCTCTTCACGCCCCTCTCCTACCTTGTCGCCGTCACGGTAACAAGTAGGTTCCCCTTGCAACGTCCATTATCCCCTGCGAGGCTGAAATGATTTTTTAAATCTTAATTCGTAATCCGTGTTGTTGCTATCATGATTATTAAAGTTGCACACGCTGCTGCTTATAATATTATTGTTGTTGTTATTCTAGTCGTCATCGCTTTCATCATTGTTACTATTATTGTTGTTTTGTTGTTACTGACATTATAACCGTTATACTGCTGGTATTGCTACCATTGTTCTTATTGATATCACTGCAGGGATATTGTTCGTATATTCCGAAGTAATTTCGCTTAGCCCAGCTTCGTTACGTCATACTGGGTCTCCACGACGCGCTCGTCTCCCTCACGATCTTGCTGATGAGCATTGTATCTCCTCCCACCCTCCCGGCCTCCCTCCTTCCCTCCCTTGCCTCAGATAGGTCGTCCATCATGCTGATTAACCGTGAGTTACTCTGGCATTTTATATCGGGCTGGGTCCATTTGGCTCATTCCCTGTGGAAGGGGGGGGGGTCAATTGCAGCTGCGGTTTGACCCTTTCGTTTGAGTCGCTTCGATTGGGCCGGGGGATTGGCAGTCCGTGTGTTTTTCAGACATATTGATTCAGGCGTCGAGCGGTTCTTTTACAGGTTCATGTGATGCGAAGATGGTTTTGCCCCGGTACGCATTCAAGGCTGATTACAACCCGGTACATGTTGGGGCTCATGTCCGGGTCGTCTCCTTTGTCATTCTAGTCATGCAGTGTTATCGTCCCGCTCTTCTCTTTCTTCGTCGCCTTTTTTAATCCTTTTTTTATCCTATCTTTTTCTTTTGCTGCATCTTTCTGTTTTGAGCTCCCTTCTCTATTATATTTACCCTATCCCTTCTTTGTTTTTTCCTCCTTTTCTTTCCCTTCTCTTCCTTCTCCTCTACTCCTTCCTTTCTTCCCGCCTTTTCCTAACTTTCTTCCACTTTCCCTATCCCATGCCTCTTCTTGTTCCTTCTTCCCACTCCATCTTCCACCATTTCCTTCTTGCACCCTTCTTTCTCATTTCCCTGCACCCTTCTTTCTCACCCTCCCCCTTCCGGCTTTCGTCTCCCTCCCTACAGTCCCCTGCCAACCCCACGTGATCGATAATTGCGACCTCCACCCATCTTGATTACCCATTACGCAAGGCTTCGGCTACGCGGCTGATCACCTGAAATGCAGGGAGGCACTGGGGGAGGGAGGGAGGAGGGAAGGGAAGGGAGAAAGATGGAGGGAGGAAGGGAAGGGTGGGAGGGGAAGGGAGAGGAAAGGGGGAGAGGATGATAGAAGGAAAAGGGAAAAAAGGAAAGGAGGGAGGGAAAGAGGAAAAGATGACGGGAAGGAGAGGGGAAGGGGAGAATGGGCGGGAAAGGTAAAAAGGGAAAGAGGGGAGGGAAAGGGAGAAAGATGACGGGAGGCAGGGAAAGGATGGAAGAGGAGAGGGAGGAAGGGAGGGAGGAAAGGGTGGACATGGAAAGAAGAGGAGAAGGAAAAGCCAGACAGAAAAGGGAAGGAGAGAGAGAAAGATGGAGAGAGGAACACGGAGAGGAGATGGTCTTGACGAAAATGATTTGATTAAATTTATGGAAGAGAGGGGGATTAGGAAGGCGGAGATTAAAATGGAAGGATTGCGGTTGGAATAGAGATGAAGATGGAAATAACAAGGGAGGAAGGGAAAGAGACAGAACGAGAAGGAGAAAGAGAGCG